ATGCTATTATAACTACTGACAAGCTTGTATACGAGCCAAATGATTTGGTATTTGTAGAAATATTATTGATTGATCCTTTGAAAAAAACTCCCTATTATTTTTCACCATCTTAAACAAACAACTAGTCATTAAATTCTAGTACAGATCAATAAAATGCTCACATTCAGCTACAATCAACACTGGTCATGATTTAACTAACAGATTTGAATGGGATTTCAATAGGAAAAAGTTCAGAAGATATTAGTTAATTCAATTTCACCAGAATACTGACCAATCCTTCTTCAGGATTCACATTCTTACTTCCTCAAAATTTGAGTGATGGCTAATATCTGATAAGTATAGTGAGTCGTGATTTCCCTCCAGAGTAAAGAGTCATATAAGTAAAACGCTACTATGATTACTTAATTCCTAAGTATGAAGTGAAACTAGTTGTTCTTAATGAAAAAGTAGAATTAAATCAAACAATCTTAGGAAAGGTTGAAATCGTGAATAATACATAAATAAACGGCATCACTGTTCCTATACCTTCGAGCTACTCTACTTACAATTTAAGCATTAGCTATAAATACTAAAATAAGCAGGAATCTTTCAACTTGACACTTGATTAGATGGATTTTGTCTATTTCTCAATAAACCCTTAAATATATATAGAACAAGGTAACATATGTATACTTTAATTACAAGCCACCATTAAAATTGAAAACACTAATTATTAATCCAATGAGCTTTAATATCAGTTTGGAGATACAGACTATTACTTCTATAAAAACATCAAAGCAATATTCTAAAATATGCAGCTTAGTGACCCTGTAATGAATGATTACCTAAGAATTTATTACTATTTCTATATGGACTAGAATTAAACGAGAAACGTAATCGACGTGCCATTCAACTTTAAACAGGTAAGATTTGGAGCTTATATCAATGATACGAAAAAACCTGATGTCTCTGTAAGATATATCACAGCAAATGGCATTTTATTTGATAACGGTTCCCACTTTTTCGACTTACCATAATTTGATAAAGAAATATACTTCTTAGAAATAATAACAGAAATAAAAGACAGTAATTTTCCGACTTCTCAACCTTTCAATGAAGATGGTACAGCAATGATTGGGAATCATTTTATAAATTTATCTACACAAGTTTAAAATTCTTCTCGATAAAACTAATATGCCGTTAGAATACCAATAATTCTTGATGGAATACAATCTATAAGAAAACAATACTAGAATCTTATGGATTTATCTCAATTTAATTATACCTTTGATCTTATGAACCTTAAGACGTTCAATTACTCAAAATATGATAATGAATTTGGGTT